GGATCCCGCGGGGATCAGCTGCCTGCGTCCGCGCGCGCGGCACGATCCAGGCCTGCGATGATTTTGCAGCGCTTTGCCAGGCCGCTTGACACAGCAGGTACGAACGGGATTGCGAAACGCCTGCGTTTCGCATGGGGAGCAGCCCCCACATGACAGCGGGCGTTTATCCGGGAGGATCCGAGTGCCCGGCGAGATGTGCCCGTAGCCGGCACGCAGAGGGACGTCAGGGTGCGATGTCTCCTCCGGGGCTGTTTCCTCAGGCTGCTGCTGGAGGAGAAGCCGAGGGGCTCTGTGAGCGCTGGAAACGCGCGTGGGGATGTTAAAAATCCCGGCGCTGTTTTGCACGGGAGCAAACTGTGTCCTGGTTCCTCCCTGCTTAGTCAGGCTGGGGAGCAGCTCCGCGCAGCCCTCGCTTTCCCCAGAATGATTCGCTCGTCTGAAGATCGTCAAGGAAATGAGGACGAGGGATGGGATGGAGGCCAGAAGAAGGTGCCTCCAGGCTGTGCTCAAAGCTGGGTTAGGCTGAGGTGCCTGTATCCCCAAGAAACCTGTATCTTTGGAGTGCCTATACCCTTGGAGCACCTATATCCCCAGGGCACCTGTATCTTTGGAGCACCTATATCCTTGGAGCACCTGTATCCCCAAGACACCTGTATCTTTGGAGTGCCTATATCCTTGGAGCGCCTATATCCCCAGGGCACCTGTATCTTTGGAGTGCCTATATCCTTGGAGCGCCTATATCTCCAGGGCACCAGTATCCCCGGGGCACCTATATCCCCGGGACACCTATATCCCTGGGGCACCTATATCCCCGGGGCACCAGTATCCCCGGGGCACCAGTATCCCCGGGACACCTATATCCCTGGGGCACCTATATCCCTAGGGCACCTATATTCCCAGAGCACCCATATCCCCGGGGTGGTCGCGCACCGGATTGAGCCCTGGGCAGGAGGGCAGCACGGGGCTGGGCATCGTTCAAGGCTCTCTCGGCAAACGCACCAAGTGGCTGGAATGGCACGTGGTGACCAAGCCCATATGCCCTCTTGGGGGGACAATCAGGCACCTGGTTTTACCTGTAGCTGGATTGTGAGTCTGAATCCCAGGCGGTCCAGCGAGCTTCCGAAAGGCCCGGCGGAGGATTTATCCCAAATCCTTGGTGCTTTCCAGTGGCGCCTGCTCAGCAGCAGGGTCCCGTGTTGCAGGGAAGCCAGCAGAGATCTGCGCTCCAGGTCACTCCCTCAAAAGCAGGGCCTGGAAGACGCTGGGTGCAAAGTCTCCTGTCTCCAGAGCGACCCGCCCCTCGGGAATTCCTCTTCCCAGAGGAGCGGCAGCCCGAGCTCCCTGGCAGGGTTTTCAGACCAGGCTGGAGATTTTGGAGAGCTCCAACGGGCAAGAAATGCTTTGGGACCGAGCTCCTCCAAGCCTCGCTTCCCAAGTGCACAGCAACAGGCTGAAACTGGGGAAAAAACAATGATTTCCATTGCTTTTTAAGTTTTTTTTTTCCCCAAGTAGCAGTTCCGATCCTTTCCTGCGTGTTGTTTTCTGACCGTGCACGGTGGGTTTCCAGGTTCCCCTGCCGCGCATCTCTGTGACGCAGAAGCCCGAAACCTCCTTCAAAATGAGAGCTGGGACTTTTGAGACAGGCCCCACACGGGGCCTTTTTCACCCAACGCTGCGTCCCGGAGGGTGCACGGGGGAACTGTGAAGCTTGCACACAAAAAAGCAAAGGAAATGTTGGGTAGATAGAAGCGCCTGGGCGACATGAGAGGCTGGAGAGCCGCTGCGTGGAGCCGGCGTTGGGTCCTGCAGCTGCGTGGGGTAATGAGCTTGCAGGGACCTGCACGGTTAATTAAAAGATGAGTGGGGCCTCGAACAGCCTTCCCTTTTGGGGGCGAGGAGCGAGATCCCGAGTGATCCCTCTCCACGCTCCGTGTCGGGGCTGCGCTGCTGGGATCCGATGGATCGGCTCCCGAAGCCGCCTCAGCGCAGACCCTGGCACTGGGTTCAAGGTTCCCTCGATGCGGTGACAACCCAGGGCCTCACCAATCCCGCGGGAGGTGCTGCGAGGTCACACGTTGGATTCTGGCACTCGTGGGTGTCTGTTGGACGGGGCCGGTTTGGTGGCGTTTGCAGTGTCAGTGCCCCAGTGCAAACAGCGTCGGAGAGGATCCAAGTCCAAGAGAGCAGGTGAATCCCGGGGGCGGAGGCCCGGCCCCGTCGGCAATGTGGCCTGGGCAGCAGAGAGACGCCAAATTCCGGAGAAATCCCAACAGCTTCCAGGTTTCTCTCCTTGGCCGCTGTTTCTCCATGCAGCGAAGGCCCTCCCGTGCCTGCAGTGAAATGCATTTGTGGTGCAAACGCGTTCAGGGCAAAGGCTGACCTTGTGTCTTGGACAGAGGGTCAGTGTGAACATGAAATATTCAGTGAAATATTCAAACTTACTCGATTTTAGCCAGAAATGCTTTCCAGAGCAGTTGAGGACACTCTATCTCTTGCCCGGTCTTAGCACGCAGCCTGGCCCGCTTGTGGCCACCGCGCCAGGTGACAACACGAGTCACCGTCTCCGCTGCCTGTCCCCATGCTCCTAAGGGGCCCCGGAGCCGTGTGCAGGACCGCTGGGAAGAGGGAAGAGCCGGGAAGAGGTGGCGGAGGTGCCCGGGCTGCATCAGCTCGGGAACGCAGCGGGCGCCTGTTCTCCCGGTGCCTGTGGGGAGTCCCGTGTCCCGTGTCCGTAGGGCGCTGTGGGTTGGTCTCGGAGCCAGGAGGATCCGGCGCGTGGCGGCTCCGGAGTTGCCCGCCGTGGGGGCGGGGCCGGGTGC